ACACGGGCAATTCCTCCTGATGGCTGTTGGAAAAAAGGTCATTGGGAGGGACTTCTGCTGGTACACTGTCCTCTGGCTAACAGGTTCTTTACCTCCCATCTTGTTCCTTTCATTTCTTTCTTATTAATAATTATATCTTACTTTTCAAACCCTACAGAACGTTATTCCAATAGATGCTGTCATGAAGCTGCAGTATGAAGAAATCCATGGCTTGACTCACTCAAGCACCAGAGTAAAATCCAGGCTCTCCTGTCCAGGCTTCACATACTCCCCACAGGGGGCCCAGAAAATTCAGGAAACATAAGAGGCTCAGGTTGACTTAGGAACATGTGATATTACCAGTAGTTATGTTCATGTGACTATTGGAAATACAAATTCCAGTTCTGTAAAATATTGAATAGTACTTATGTTTTTTTCTGTATGAACAGTATACTCAGATTACTCAATGTGAATAGAAAAAATTTCCTCTTGAAGCTGAATATTTGAGAAGTTATTGATCTTATTGAAGCTATTTCACCAGTAGTTAAATGTTTAGTATGAACGTAAATGATTTAACTAGTAGACTTTCTTTTTTTAAGCTCCCTCCTTTCAGGAGGATTTGTTTAATGGATTAAACAAAATGATGGTTTAAGAATGTTTTTAAAGTCAAAGTTTGTTTTTGTCTTCAGCTTGAACCCAGGCTTTTTGGAATTTCCTTGAATTAAGTGTGGTTATTTAAAAGCACAAGAGAGAAATCCCTTGTATTTACCAACTTATTTATTTATATATTTTTAAAATATAGATGAATCTTTTTTTTTGTTTATTTTTATGTGGTGCTGAGGATCGAATCCATTGCCTCACATGTGCAAGGCAGGCGCTCTGCCACTGAACCACACCACCAGCCCACTTACCAACTTTTTTATTAGCCCTTGCTTAATTTAGTATTTTGCCTTCCTTTTTTTATGTTGATGAATTCTTCTTTTTAGCTTTCTTTGGTGTATAGATGGCAGTTACGTGTATCCTTCTGCTTACATGAGATAAATATTGCTAGTTTAAAAGGGTGGGTCTTTTTCTAGGAATGTATTGAGTTGAAGATGGTATTTAGGTTGACAGTTTCTGTCTCTTGCCTATTTAATTATCTAAGGAGAACAGTTGAGAAAGCCCACTTGAGGTCTGGGGATGTAGCTCTGTGATAGAACACTGGCCTAGCATTCTTGGGGTCCAGGGTTTGATCCCCAGCACCAAACAAGAGTATTTGAGTTCACTATGTAAACAGATCCTGCACTGTGGTATGTGGCTACTTAAGGTTGAGTTTTTATTGGCTACTTAAGGTTGAGTTTTTATTGGCTACTTAAGGTTGAGTTTTTATTGGCTTATTTTCAGAAATAAGAGTAGCCCCTTACATAATTTCCAGAATATAAATTTTATTTAGTAAAAGAGTAGGTAGGCACTTTTCATTTCACACAGCCTTTATGTTTTGAATTTTGTTTTTCCTCTCTGAATTAGTTCCTGGATGGCTGGAGGTGTATAGTTGTTTTTTTTTTTTTTTTTTTTTTTTTAAATTCAATACCTTTTAGTTGTCAGTGGACCTTTATTTTATTCATTTATATAT